CCTCGACGCCGCAGTGTTAAATCCAGTTGGTTAGCACCCAAGCCTAGTATCTTCTGAGAACCTTTGTTGCCATTGAATCCAGACTGGATTCTAACCCTTTGTCTCTGCTTTCAGGAAACCTGTTTTTCTCCTGTGAAGCTCTGGAAGAGCTTAACCTGCCGAGCCTGCCCTCTGATCCAAACCTGAAGACTCTTCTCTGGATTCCCATGCAGCTCTGGACAAAGAGCTGGAAACTCAGAACCAAGGTCTGCCTTCACGCTAGAAGTAAGACGCTGAAGCAGTTATCGGACTCTGCTGAACAAAACAATCTCTGGACCCAACAGTTCCTCCCTCAAGGCTTTATCAGGACTCCTCAAGGTACAAACCTGAAAACCTTAAAACTCAAACTCAACTGAGCCAACGCTAACTGAACTGTCTCCCACACAGACTCCAGTGAACCAGCCCCCAGGCCTGAACCAGTACCAGTGTTATTTCCATGTGCTTCGTGAAACAATAAACCTGTTAAACTTTTATTCTGTCTCCGTGGTGTTCTGCATCTTGGGCCTCTCAGTAACCCTTCATGACAGAACACTGCGGCCAAACACAAGGCCAAGCAGATCACCTCCGCCGTCGATTGGAGGAGCAAGACGCTCAAATCCAGGCACAAACTCAAACCCTCCGTGAGTTATACCGTGTGGTCGATTCTCATAATCATATGCTTCAGAATTATGCTAACTACATGAGCAGTGCTAATGCCACGTCGGCAGCGCAACCATTTCCGGGTCCAGTTCCGCCTCTGAGGTCACCGGCAGTGACGTCATCCCCTGAGTTCCGCCCAAGTCTACCGGAGAAATTTTCTGGTAATATGAAGGACTGCAAAGGATTTTTGTTTCAATGTCGTTTAATTTTTCAAAACTCTCCTGGCAGTTTTCCCACGGATTATAAAAATATAACTTTCATTCTGTCCCAATTGACAGGAAGAGCCCTGGAATGGGCTCAGGCAAGGTTTGCCTCTGACGAAAGCCTCAATTGTCAATACACTGATTTTGTCTCTGAATTTTCTCAAGTATTCAACCAAGAAGCTGATCAAACCATTGACTCTCATGCTCTTTTTAACCTTAAACAGGGAAGTTCTTCAGTGGCGGAGTTCTCCATTAACTTCCGGGTAAAAGCTGCTGCTTCCGGATGGAATCAAAGTGCTTTAAAGGGCGCTTATTTTATGGCTCTTAACGAAAGCATCAAGGATGAACTAGCAACCCTCGACGAACCTGCAACACTCGAAGAATTAATCCGCCTGACAATTAAGCTGGATAACAGGATCCGAGCTAGAAACAGCTCCAAATATAGGAATCAGGGTTCCTTTGCCTCTGCCCCTGCCTCTAATAATATGACTGTTTTTTTCTGCTCCCACAGAACATTTGTCCAAACCGAGACCTAAAACCCAGTCTCTCCCTTTGCCTGTTCAGGCCTCTCATACTGGAGATACGGAAATCGAACCCATGCAGGTTGGACATACTAGGCTGACTCCTGAGGAAAGACAAAGACGTTTTCTGAGCAAACTGTGCATCTACTGTGGTGAGAGTGGTCATTTCATCGCTTCATGCCCAGCTAAATCAAAAGCCGGGGCCCGTCAGAGGTTTTGAGGAGTCTGGCTGGCCATGTTAACTCTGAAAAATCTCCTCGTCTGATGCTCCCTGCCACTTTATTCTTCTCAGATCAGAACCTCTCTTTTTCTACTTTCATTGATTCAGGCTGTGAACGAAATTTAATTGACTCAAATCTTGTCCAGCAGCTTCAAATTGAAACCGTTCCTCTAACCCAGCCTCTTTGTGTCTCTGCTATTGATGGGAAGAAACTCCACCAGGTCACCTATCAAACCCAACCTCTCGAGCTACTAATATCAGGTAATCATCGAGAAACCTTAACATTTTTTGTTTTTCCCTCCGCATGTTCCCCTCTGGTGCTTGGTTTTGAATGGTTGGAGAAACATAATCCCCATATTAACTGGACTGATCGTCATGTGGAATCCTTGTCAACTCTTTATCATGAAACATGCCTCCATTTGGCAGCTCCCGCTGTGGGGTCCCCTAGAGGGGGGGGGGGGGGGGATGGACTCTCCTGACCTTACTTCTGTCCCTTCCGAGTACCATGATTTGGCTCCTGTCTTCAGTAAGGTCAGTGCTACGTCCCTTCCACCACACAGACCATATGACCGTGCGATTGAGCTATTACCTGGAGCACCCCTTCCCAGCAGCAGACTTTATAATATTTCCAAACCTGAACGAGAAACCATGGAAAAATATATTAATGAGTCTTTAGCTGCCGGAATAATTCGCCCATCTTCTTCTCCGTTATGAAGGACCAACTCTGCCATATTTAAAAATAAATACAGAAATAAATAAATGCTCAATAAATGTATAAGCATACAATTAATTGCCAACAAAAAAGTGAGACATAAATGTATATAACTCTTAATTAGCTTCATTATTTATTTGCCTTTGTAATATTTACCTTATTTATTTTTCTGTCCTTTTATAATCTTCAACTTTATTTTTTAATTACTTATATTTTTAAGTATTATGTGCATGTTATAATATTTTTGTCTGTTTTATTCTTCCTTTGTATTTTTTTACCTTAGTTATTTCTTCGCCGCTGTTTATTTCTCTCTGCCCTTTTTACATTTCTCTCTGCCCTTTTTACATTTCTCTATGCCCTTTTTACATTTCTCTCTGCCCTTTTTACATTTCTCTCTGCCCTTTTTACATTTCTCTATGCATTTCTGCCTCATTATGCAAATGAGGAGGGGGTGTGGCCTAGAGAGTCAACTTCTGCTCATTGGTTGGCTTGGAGGTCCATCTTCTTAACTCACAGAGCTCAGAGTACTAAGTTAAATGTTCTCTTTTCTGTTGCTGTTGTTCAATAAAAGTACGTTTTAAGATCATTTGAGGCGAGAACCTTATACTTTTAAGCATCACTATATGGCCCATTCACAGATTTAATGCGTAATTTAAAAGAAAATGTGACGAACTTGAGAGGACCGTGGCAACCAGCAAAGCTCCGAAGCTGACGGCAGCCAGGTCTAACCACAGCCCATTTGCAGCGGCCCTCTCTCGGCATAGCCGTGTGTGAAGCGTGTTGGTTAGCATTTTACTACATCGGTCGAATCTACAGGAGGAGAGTCTGATGTCGAGTCTGAAGTCATTAGAACTTGAGTAGGGACTTTGCCAAACTTTGCCAAATACAACAAAAAATCGCCATCATAGCCTGGCTATAGACCTGGCTGCCGTCAGCTTCGGAGCTCCGCTGGTTGCCACGGTCCTCTCAAGTTCGTCACATTTTCTTTTAAATTACGCATTAAATCTGTGAATCGGCCATATGGTGATGCTTAAAAGTATAAGGTTCTCGCCTCAAATGATCTTAAAACGTACTTTTATTGAACAACAGCAACAGAAAAGAGAACATTTAACTTAGTACTCTGAGCTCTGTGAGTTAAGGAGATGGACCGCCAAGCCAACCAATGAGCAGAAGTTGACTCTCTAGGACACACCCCCTCCTCATTTGCATAAATGCATAGAGAAATGTAAAAAGGGCATAGAGAAATGTAAAAAGGGCAGAGAGAAATAAACAGCGGCGAAGAAATAAGGTAAAAAAATACAAAGGAAGAATAAAACAGACAAAAATATTATAACATGCACATAAATAAATACTTAAAAATATAAGTAATTAAAAAATAAAGTTGAAGATTATAAAGGACAGAAAAATAAATAAGGTAAATATTACAAAGGCAAATAAATAAAGAAGCTAATTAAGAGTTATATACATTTATGTCTCACTTTTTTGTTGGCAATTAATTGTATGCTTATACATTTAATGAGCATTTATTTATTTCTGTATTTATTTTTAAATATGGCAGAGTTGGTCCTTCATACTCCGTTGGGTGCAGGGTTCTTTTTCGTTGGCAAGAAGGACGGTTCACTAAGACCCTGTATTGATTACAGAGGCCTGAACCAAATAACTATTAAAAATAAGTACCCTCTCCCATTCCTCGCTTCTGCATTTGAACCTGTCCAAGGGGCTACTGTATTCACCAAACTTGATTTAAGGAACGCTTACCACCTCCTCAGGATTCGAGATGGAGATGAGTGGGAAAACAGCCTTTAAGACTCCCTTGGGCCAGTTTGAATATTTGGTTATGCCTTTTGGTCTAACTAATGCCCCTGCATGTTTTCAAGCCTTGGTAAATGACGTTCTCAGAGACTTTTTGAATGTGTTCGTGTTCGTCTACATTGATGACACACTCATTTATTCTAAAGACCTTTTTGAGCATAAGAAACATGTCCGCCTGGTGTTACAAAGATTACTAGAGAACAAACTTTTTGTCAAAGCCGAGAAATGCGAGTTTCATCAGTCTTCAGTCACCTTTTTGGGGTTTGTGCTCGAGGGGGGGCAGGTTAAGCCTTCAGTTTTGGAGTGGCCGGTTCCTGAAAACCGTAAGCAGCTGCAGAGATTCCTTGGTTTCGCCAATTTTTATCGAAGATTCATCAGGAACTATAGTCAGACAGCTCTTCCACTAACTTCTCTAACTTCGATCAAAAGAACCTTCCAATGGACCCCCGAGGCACAAACAGCATTCGATAAACTTAAGACTTTGTTTTCCAGAGCTCCTGTGCTGATCCAGCCCGATCCATCTAAACAATTCGTCCTCGAAGTAGACTCGACACGGATCAAAGAGTTCATCCATGTGCCTTCTTCTCTCGTAGACTTTCCCCCGCAGAGCACATTTCTGTCTCGGGCACAATAGACCTCCATTATTTGAATGTCAGCAGACAGCAAGAAGCCTCCCAGATCTCCAGATCCATTTGAGATATCAAAAAAGTACTCCAGAGTGTTGTTCAGCATGGAGGTGAGTAGAAAATGAAGGCTAATCATGTTTTGGGTGTACTATTCCTTTAACCTGCCGAGCCTGCCCTCTGAGCCAAACCTGAAGACTCTTCTCTGGATTCCCATGCAGCTCTGGACAAAGAGCTGGAAACTCAGAACCAAGGTCTGCCTTCACGCTAGAAGTAAGACGCTGAAGCAGTTATCGGACTCTGCTGAACAAAACAATCTCTGGACCCAACAGTTCCTCCCTCAAGGCTTTATCAGGACTCCTCAAGGTACAAACCTGAAAACCTTAAAACTCAAACTCAACTGAGCCAACGCTAACTGAACTGTCTCCCACACAGACTCCAGTGAACCAGCCCCCAGGCCTGAACCAGTACCAGTGTTATTTCCATGTGCTTCGAGAAACAATAAACCTGTTAAACTTTTATTCTGTCTCTGTGGTGTTCTGCATCTTGGGCCTCTCAGTAACCCATCATGACAGTGTCATGATGGACTTAGACCTAAGGATGGACTCGGACCTGTACCTTCAGAGCAACATAAAAGCATTTTTTATCAGCTGAAGAACATTTCTAGGATTAAAGGACTAATACACAAACAGGATCTAGAAAAAGTACTTGAACAGTTATCTTTAGTGGAATTGATTACTACAACAGTGCCGCCATAGGTTTGTCTAAAAGTCCATCAGCTGAAATTGATCTAAAATGCTACTGGCAGTGTTCTCACTAGAACTAAGAATGTAGAGCACATCTACTGGCTTCCTGTAACAGAGAAAATACTTTAAAATCCTTTTGTCAATATATAAATTACTGAATGGAACAGCACCTAAATGCATAACAGTTTTGTTGTCAGTGTATCAACCTTCCAGACCACTCAAGTTTTTGAGTTTAAGTCTATTCTGTACACTCAGAACGAGAACCAAGCACGGAGAACGAGCATTTAGTTACTATGGTGCAATTAGGTGGAAAAAACTTTCAGAAGACTGTAAAAGTATGTTGTCTAGCTGTTTTATTTGTTTGCTACATTTTTTTTATCATGTTCTTTTCTTTACTTGCATTTATTATGCTTTTATTTTCCTTTTGTTTTATTGTTCATGCATAGTGATTGTTACAGTGTACAGTTTAAAAAAAAAAAGTGTATTTTCTATATACATGCCTTCTTTCGAGCACTTATGAGTATAGCCCAATTTAGTGGAAGATATTGAATCTTATTGTCGATTATTGCAATGAAAAAAAAGCCTGTGAAACCAAGATGGCTGACAGACAGTGAAAAAAAGCAAACACCTTGGCTATTTCAGTTTATACAGTGAAGTAGAGGAACCACCATTCCTAGAGAAAACCATATTACAAATGTAAAACTAACTATTTGTTGGTATATTGATTTTTTTACAGTATAAAATGCATACAATACACATGAGTGAACAGATATTTTTTTCTTTTAAATAATAATGATAGAAACTTTTTTTTCAAACCTTGTTTAACATTCCTAAGGATGTTTAAAACAGTTTGTGCACAAATCCTAACTGAGTTTATCATAATTAATGCATGAGAGGGTTAATTTATTTAACGCACTTTCAATTGCCTTGTTACTGAATTGTGTCATACAAATAAACTTGCCTTGCCTTGCCTTGACATTCGATGGCGAAGGGGTTGTACATAAGGGGCAGTTTGGGATTTGGCCTTTAAGATCCACCATTTCCTAGAACACAATTTCTCTCACCCTTCCGTTCATCTTGCTTTCTCTTCTTTCTCGTTCCTTCCCTGGCTTTATTCCCTCCATCCAGATATGTTTTTTTATTTGTTTGTTAGATAAACCTAATTTTAAGTTATCCCATGTTTTGTGGCCCTTCATTTGTTGTGGTCTTGGGGCTAGACTATAACAATTGGTATTACTTTTTCCTTAGAACTACCTTTAGAGCTACCATTGCCTTTTTTGCTTTTCATAGACTTGTGTACACTTCGTAAAATATATGTCTGAATTCGGCTGGTGTGGGTTTAGCAGCGCGGTCTCTCGAATACTGAACCTTACTCAATAGATAGATCCAAAGCATTGCTCTAGGGCGGAGGTCATTAACAGGGGGTCCGCAACCCCTAGGGGGTTCAGAGAGCTTCGTTTGCAAAAGGTTTAGTTGATTAGACTTTTTTTCATATTCCCCCCTTGCAATTTTTTCCACTAATTGAAATGTCTTTAAATACATGTTAACATGAATTTAACACACTCTAGTAAACAGATATATGGAGGCAGAAGATGTCTTTCAGTTATCAATGCACACATTCAGCGACACACAGGAGCTGTTTCAAGCTGGGCACCATTTGATTTACAACACCTGTCCCATCAACGAGGAATAAGAAATGCTTTAATAATCCCAATACGAAATTACTTTTGTTACATGATTCCATATGTAATAGAGTGACTATAGAACCAGTTTGATTTAACACGATTTCATACAATATATGTCACGTTTGGGTTGGTGTTTGAGGACCGAAATGCAGAGGCAGGGAGGCAGATGTGAGTTCTTGTAGTTTTAATGAGAGGAAACAGTTTAACAAAGGCAGGAGTCCAAAATTCAACTTAATATTTAACACAAACCAGAACCATAGAAACATCAAGAAAGCAGCAACAACAAGGAACCAACAAGGAGTGACAGCAGAGGGAGAGTATAAATAGGTGACTGAGACAAAGGCAGGGCTAACGAGCTGACAAGGAGCAGGTGTGAGAGGAGACAACAGGGCAACAGAAAAACATGAGAACTAACATAAATCTAGAAATTACAACAAAACTGGAATTAAACCAATAAAACTAGAAAACAAGGAGCAAAGTAAAGTACAACAGAACCAAGACCATGACAATATATATAATTAGGGGGGTCCCCGCTCCATCTCACGATCAGTTTTGGGGTCCTTGGCCTGGAAAATGTTGAAGACCCCTGCTCTAGGAAGTCAGATAGGCTGACTACAAATGTCCTGTCTCATTCTCCCAATTTTGTCATCTTCCACCGGAGCAGCATCCATCACGGACCATTACAAACAGCTGTCAGAACATGTTTAGATTAATCTGTGTGAATTCCTAACACCTTGTTAAATGCATGTGTTTATTTGTGGTACGACTTACTCCTTTGGAGAGAGGGGGTGAGAAGTGGTGGCGGGGGGGGGGCGGCATAAATTCTAAACAGACGTATACCAAAAAACAATTCAATTTAGTTTATTTATATAGTGTCAATTCACAACACGTCATCTCAAGACACATCACGCTTCACCTGATCATACAGTCAAACTTATTCAAAGTTGTCTATCTGAGGAAAAGCAGTTGATTGAATCGACTCATTGCAATCCCTCACACTGAGCATGCTTGTAGCGACCGTGGAGAAGAAAAACTCCCTTTTAACAGGAAGAAACCTCCAGCAGAACCAGGCTCAGTGTGAGCGGCCATCTGCCGAGGGCCGATTGGGGTTCAAGGAGACAGAAGCAGAGAAACAAAAAGCAACTGTAAAAGGCAGCCCTGTCCAGCAAACACACTGCCAGGCAGACAAGCTCCAAGCCAACTCCCATGTCAGAGGATGAAGAGAGCACATCCAGCTAGTCACAGTCAGAAAATCAGGACTACACTGAAAACCAGGACGATCTCGAACATAGATGTCGATGGCAACAGCACAGCTGATATTTCTCTCTGGGATGGTGTCACAGCCGAACAGGAACGCACAAGGTGAAGCTACTATGAGAAAAAACAGAGAGAGCATAATGTTAGAGATTGAAGTAACAGATTCTGCAGAGTGGGAGAATAGAGATAGAATGAAGCAGAATGATTAAATAGGGGTCCCTATGTCCTCCAGAAGTCTAAGCCTATAGCAACATAACTATAGAGATAGCTCAGGATAACCTGAGAACCTCCAACTATAAGCATTGTCAAAAAGGAACGTTTTAAGCCTGGGCTTAAAAGTAGACAGGGTGTCTGCCTCACGGACTAAAACTGGTAGTTGGTTCCACAGGAGAAGAGCCTGATAACTAAAAGATCTGCCTCCCATTCTACTTTTAGAAATTCTAGGAACCACTAGTAAACCTGCAGATTGAGAGTGAAGTGCTCTGTTAGGAACATAAGGAACAATCATATAGCTGATATAAGATGGAGCTTGGCCATTTAAGGCTCTATATGTGAGAAGGAGGATTTTAAATCCTATTCTGGATTTAATAGGAAGCCAATGAAGACAAGCTAGGATAGGGGAGATATGATCTCTATTTTTAATTTTCATCAGAACTCTGGCTGCAGGATTTTGAATCAGTTGAAGGTTTGTAACTACAGTTTGCGGACTTCCTGATAGTAAAGAATTACAATAGTCCAGCCTTGAAGTAACAAATGCATGGACTATTTTCTCAGCATCATCCCTGGACAGGATATTTCTCATTTTTGTAATATTCCGCAGATGAAAGAAGGAAATTCTACAGATACAAGTCCATTATTTGAGGCCATGAAAATATCATTAGCGACTTTCACCAGAGCTGTTTCGGTGCTATGATGAGCTCTAAAGCCAGACTGAAACTCTTCAAAAAGTTCATTATGGTGTAAGTGGCCGCACACTTGTTTGGCAAGTACTTTCTCAAGAATTTTAGATAAGAAAGGAAGATTGGATATAGGTCTATATATCCAATCAAATGTATTCTAAATTATCACACCAGTGTATTTATATGAATGTCAACAACAAAAACATTTTAAAAACAAAACATAATTTCAAGTACAGGTTTAATTTTCGTAAATAAATGTTGCCCTTCTGAGGCTTTGTCAAGGCAAATCTGTGTTTTGCGTGGTTCATTATGATGTCATCATTATGTACTAGTTTAATAATGTAGAGGCAATTAGTTGGCTTTATATTTTTTTAATATATAAAAACTATTTATTTTCTGAGAATTTGTTTACTTAAGAGCAACTATGAGAATTATTATTTTTTAAATCTGTTACTGCTCTTTAACCACCATGGTTGGCTTCCTTTAAACTCACAGGCCGAAAGCCTCTACTGAAAGATTGAAAAGGTACTTCACGCAAAGAGAGCCCAACCAAGTATTGCATGTGTGTAACAGAGTACATACATACAGCAAGAATAACAAGGACAACATTTGCTTGTGAACACATAACAAATTCAAATCATATGAATGCACTTTGTAGAAGACCCACAACCACGAGCTCCATGCATAAAGGGTGGAGACCCTTTATTATTGGTCATTTCTTATATTAAGTTTTTTTTTTTTTTTTTACAATTTAGATCTTCGACTTTAATACACATGAACATGCAACTCTATACAGGAATGTTTTAGATAAATTTTACATTAAACTGGATTTTAAGAGAATTTTTTTTAATCATTTTTTATTCACTTAGATACACCTGTATTGAGCACGTAAGGAAAAATAACATAAATTTTGAGATAGCTTATTTAGAATTAT